ATTAGTATGTTTACTAGATTCTTGAATTTTTGTTTTTATATATATTACTCCCTCCGTTCCAATTTATGTGAACCTATTTGACTGGGTACAGAGTTTAAGGAAAAATGAAGACTTTTGGAATTTTTGGTCCTAAACAAGTCAAAAAAGGGCCTAGAGTATTTGTGTGATTATAAAAGTTTCTCATTAAGGATAGAATTATAAGTTTAGGCTAAATTATTTCCAAATTTAGAAAGAGGTCATTCTTTTTGGAACGAACCAAAAAGGAAATAGGTTCACATAAACTGAAACGGAGGGAGTATGTTTTAGTGACTTGATGTTTACTAGTTTCTTTATTTTTTTTGTTTATATAGTATGCTTTATTTTTGTGGCGATATCCTTGGTTTTCTTTGTACCACGGTTCCTTTTTTGAGGATGCCAATTTTCTTTTTGAACCGGGTAATTTTAAGTGAATTTTTGTCGATTTTTCCGGATGATGGATAGCTAGACAACTTTCTTAAGGAAATTAGTCTTGTAGTTTAGATATAGCTTATGATAATTTAGGAAGAATAAGTGGTTTGAGTTGGGGTTTTGTAACTATTGACCAAGTTATGGCTTGCTTGGTACCAACATGATTTAAACCTCGGCATATGAATTGTTGGTCTTTGAAAAAGAAAAATAATTGAAGTAAAGATCATTGTCATGATTTTTTGGCTCAAATTTTGGCTCTTTGATTCACTAAATAGCTTCCTATGCTATAGGTAACCTCTTTGAGTCATTGGTTTCAATTGGATTTTGGATTTGTATTCCACTTGAGTGTTCATGTGCCATGTGTGGTGAGATTTATTGTGAGTTCTTTTGCAATATTTTTAGTCTAGAACTTGCCCGGAATGTGCTTCAAGGCGAAATCATAGACTAACTTGGTTTGAAAAATGATATTAGGCCTTCCTTGGACCGCTATTGTGCCTTAAATTTCCTACCCTTGAATATTTTCCCTAGTCAACGCATTTTGAGCCTTTAACCTTGTTCTTTGGCAACCACGTTACAAGCTTTAATCCTTTATTCTTTATTGATCTAGGTTTTGGCACCCTACCTCCCTAAGTATTTTGAAAGTGTAAATATAGGCTAAAAGCCTAAGTTTGGGGGTGAAGGTTGGAAAAGTTGTGATGTGGAAGTTGCTTAAAAGATGGAAGGTAATAATAAAAAATAAAAAAAGTGAAACCTTCCTTTATTTTTAAAAGGAAGGAAGAAAAAAAATAAATAAGAAGTTGTAAATAAAGGGAAGATTAGGTGTGGAATGAAAAGTGAAGAAAGGATCAAAAATATTTTTGAAGGAAATGGACTTTAATTGTAAAGTTTGTAGTGCTTGGGGAGGTTTTGAGTCACTCTAACCAAAATTGTGTCCTACCTTAACCAAAAGCCTAAACTACAACACTTTAAGTCCAAATTGATTTTGAACTAAGTTGTCTACATTGATGGGGAAATACATGAAGGGCAAGCCTATGGTACTACTTGTATGCATTTGAACATCTTTGTGAGAGAGAGTTAATTCTTTCCATTTGATATCCCATTATTGTTTTGAATTAAAATTTATGAGTGTGGGATTCTCTCTTAAATGTGAGGGCACATGAGATTTGAGTTGTGAATTTAATCTCATTTTCAATTGGAAGGAATGACCAAAGAAAGTTAATTGTGATAAAGAGATAAATTGTGAAGCTTTAGTGTCATTACTTGATTACTACTTTTATTTGCATAATGTTTGAGCACTTGAAATGTAATGAAGTTCATGAGAAGTGTTTGGTAATTCATATGCTTTGGATTAATTGTTGGTACCAATCGAAGTCATGTGTTTGTGCTTATAGTATACCTTTTTGGCTTAGTATGATATGGATGCATTATTAAGTTAAATACTTGGGAGGAGATTTTGTTGCTTTCATCACTTGAGGACAAGCAATAGTTTAAGTTTGGGGGTTTGATAAGTTGGTATTTTACCAACTTATCTTGTCTTTAAGACTATAATTTTGCTATGTTTGAGTGATAAAATCGTGTGTTTGAGGTTATTTACTTCTATTTTACAGGTTGTATGTGAATTAGAAGTAATGGTCAAGAAACCAAGTGAAAACAAGTCAAAAAGGAGCTAAAATGGATAATGAAAACCTGCCCAGTGATTTACCCTTTCCGAACGCAAAGGTCCAACTTGAACGCGAAGAAACAGGAAGCCAGACCTTCGCGAACGCAAAGGATCAAACACAAATGCAAAGCTTAAGGGAAACAAACCTTCGCGAACGCGAAGGCATGGTCGCGAACGCGAAGAAGAAACTGGGCGGAAAAACTGGGTAGTTTGGGAATTTAACAACTTTGGCCCCAAACCATTTAATACACAAACCATCTCATTTGTAGTGGATCTTTGGAAGATCTTTTTTAGCTTATTTTCAGTCTTCAGGCTAGAGAGAACAAGGTTGGAAGCTATGGTTTGCGCGCACACTTTGGTCTTGAAGATTTGAAGCATTTGGTTGAGAATTTCTTACTCATTTATGCTTATTTCTTCAAATCCTTGCTTTGTATTGTATATCTAAGTGTGTAGTATTTTATCCAACTCTTGAATTTTGTTTATGAAAATATTCATGTTTAAAGTTTGGATTAAATATCTTGTTGTGCTTATGTATCGAATGATTTTTATCTTTTTATGAAGTGAGTTATTATTTCTTTAATTATTCTTGTTCTTTAATGTTTCCAAAGGGATTAGCTAAACCTAGGACTCGCCCATTAACTTTGAATTAATTTTGGAAAAGATTATTTGGGGTTGGGAAAGATTAATTAACAAGAACTTGAGGCTTTAACCCTCATTTTACAGATTCTACCTAGAGATAGGATTGAACTACTTATAGCCATAACCGGGTGTGCTTAATCTCTTAATTGTTTTAGAGATTATTCAATTAGGAAGTCTTGTTAGTCTTTGGAAGAAGCTAATATAGAATTATTACTCGTGGCTAATTAACATAAACTCGCTCATATTTGTAAAATCATGAAATACATTGGATCGTTACTTGAGTGTAATTCCCGATGCATCCATACTTGGAGCCATTGATCATTTTACTTGCTTTCTAGGTTAGTTTAAATTTCCGCATTTAGGTATAATTATTTTCTAAAATAAATTCTAAGTGTTTGGCATTGCATAACAAGTGATAATTCTCTTGCATTCCAAATCGCCTACATATTATTCTCTGTGGGATTCGACCCCGACTCATAGTTGGGTAAATTATATTGCATGTGATCGTGTCTATTTACTTTTTAGTAGTGGATTTGGACGTCATCATCACTTACCAGTACATGAGGTTGGTTGTACTGATACTGCACTCTGCACCCTGTGCAGATTTTGAAGACGGTCCCAACGGCGGTTACTAGCGAGCCCGGATCAGACACTTGCAGAGACTTGAGGTACGGCTGTTTAGTGCCCGCAACTCCTGGAGTCCCCATCCTCTTTTTTTTTTATCTATACAACTTCATTCAGACAGCTTTGCACTTATTTCAAACCTTTATGTGTATTACTTTAGAAGCTCGTGCACTTGTGACACTAGGTTCAGGGAATTGTAATAGACGATTGGCTGTTTAACTTCTGCATTTGTACTTAGAACATATATGTTATTTCAGTTCGTTATTATTGTTATCGTTTAAGCTGCTAAAAGAAGTAAATTGTTCTAATGTTGGCTAGCCTAGCAAGTGAGATATTAGGTGTCATCACGATCCCGACGGTGCAAATGCCGGGCCGTAACATAAAGAAAGAAGAGAAGTCATAACTAATAGAGCTATTGTTTTCGACCAAATTTGAATCTACAAGGCTTCAAATCCAATCTCCACCGTTCAAATCCAATAATAGAATATTTAGAACACTCAATTCAAAACTTAGCTCGTTCCAACATCAAACAAGGGGAAATGCATTTTGAAGAAAGCTAGTAAGCGTAGAAATTTCTAGAGCAAAGAAACAAGATTCTCTTTTCTTTCAAAGTGACTGCTCTCTCAAACATCTCCTACGTGCTAATGTCTTTCAAAGACGAATAACAACTATCATGAAATAATTCTCTAGGGGTTGTCCTATTTATAAGTAACTAATGATACTTTCTCTTAAAGCCAAATCTAATTCCAAATAGGAATCAAAAGTAATACCAAATAGGAATCAAAACCCAAAGAGAATAGCATTAGAACATTGGGCCATAGGTTGCACAATGTGTAACGATTCGATAAGGGTCTGGAAGGAATAAGACGTCAAAGATTAAATCATTTTAGCCTTCCAAAACTTAACCAAATTTTTGAAAAAACCTTCATCCATGGTTGTGAATGACTGATGTCCATGAGATGATCATCTAAGGATGATCCTTTTGTCGACGGATGCTCTTATTATTATATTTATAGTCATTGAAGGATGAGAACCAACTGTGTAGCATCTATATCGAGAACTAAAGTATTGTATAAATTTGACAACTTATCAAGGGAAAGATGATGTGAAAGCATGCTATAGGAGACTTTGAACCATATGTTGGGAGGGCCTCCGTTGATTATATTCGAACAAAATACAAATTCAAAAGTAGGGTAAGAAAAAGTTTAGCTAATGAATATATTAACTCTTACGGAACCAGTAATGTGTAAACCATGTCAAACCAACTTAACAAGATCTAACCCTTCTCACGGTTTCTTTTTTCTTTTCTTCTTCGTCTTCTTTTTTTGACTGGTTGTTCAATTGGTTAAGAAGTGTTATGTAATAGCTCTAATCATCTAAAAAGAAGCATTCGATCCTATTCTTTTTGCTTCTTTTTTGCGAACTGCTGCATGCTGCAAATAATCATTCAATTTTCGTTGAGGATCGGCTAAAATAGACAGTTTACAATGCTTAAACCGAATTAGAAGCGAAACTGCGTGTTCGAAATAGCACTAATCAAAAAGGAATTAGATGAATCTACTGTAGAAGTTAATGGCCCTCAAGAAGCATAAACAAAAACACTTTCATATACTGTTAAATATTTGGCTTTGCTGTTGTTCAGATTGAAGTAAAGGTGCATGATTCTTGTACGTGCATGCATCTACTTTCTTCTGTTTACATATGAAAAGATAGTGGAAGGACAAAGTCTTTCTATATATAGTATCCTGAACTTTCTAATTCTGAGAAGTTACACTTCCATAAGCCCTATACCTAGCATATAAGTAATAGAAACCTTATGTTGGAAATTATTTGTTACGCTCCAAAATTAGCTTCTTACACTTTATATTAAAACGATAGTACTAGAGCTTAAGAAGATAATATTGGTGTACATTAGATATTTTCTCTTTTTTAGTTTCTAAATTTCGCTGATACAAACAACATCAGATGAAAAGCTTTTCTGAACTTCCACTGCTAGCTCTTCCACACTCAGTTGGCACTCCAGTCCTATCTGTAATATAAAATCACCAATACAAGGAAAATAGAGTTAGTAAGTTAGAAAACGTTTGAGGGTAAAAGCAAGAAAGAATTTTATTTAACTTGATGTTGTAACAGATAATTCGCCTTAAAAAAATATTTCTCTTACCAATAGACTAAAAAAAGTATCAGCTTAGGAAATGTTGAAGCATGTATATTGTTACATTAATGATCACGGTTATATTTGGAATAGTAAAGATTAATTGAGTTTTGCTAACACAAACATATAAAATCCAAATTCTTGTTGAATCCGAATTATTTTCTATTCCAAACTTCCCCCCTATTAGTCAATTAACATATGAAGGTCTAGATGTAAGCCGTTGATACAAGCCAACTTGCAAAATCGTCCTGAGTATCAAAGAATTGAGACTGCCAACAAGTTTGGGATATAAAAGAATCTGATCATCCAACCAAATACCTTTAAGGCAATGGATGGAGTAACCCAGGACCATTTAAATCCCTTTAGAAATCGTTATAGAACCGATCATGAGGAACAATGTCGTTCTCTAACATGCGATGGCGTGGAAATAAAAAGATTGGAGTTGCCACATAAATGTTGTTTCCAAAGAATTAACTCACGAAATAAATGAATTAATCTACCTTGATAACAAAGGAGTATAGAACAGTATCCTGCATGCTGCTGATGTTGAGATGAAGAATCTCAAAGGAGAGTTTCTCTAACACATTAATTATCTTCACAACTTGACCTGGAATCCTCTTAGAAATGGTTCTCAATATGACATTGGATCCTGATATCTTTGCTTCAACATCAGCCACTGGAGAATTACAACATGCTCCAAGTTCCTTGAATAAGTTATTATTATTAGGATCATTTTGACTAAATGGACTTTCAGGTGTGGGACTGAGTTGCAAAAATGGCCTTGGACTAGGACCAGGGCTAGGGCTTAAACTCTTTCGTCGCTTTTTCGCCTCCAGAGATTGTAGAACTAGGTGTAATTCTTTGATGAATTCAATTACTCCTGCTATTATTGATGCTTGATCCCCCTTCATTAATTACCATGAAAAAGACTATAAAGATTAGAACAAGAAAAACAAGGGGGGGAAACACAAGAATAAAAGATATCAAACACTAAAAGGAGTTAAAAAGAACGAAAAGGAATCAAACCCTAAGGCCTAATGGCTCTTAAGATTTCAAGGAACTGGATCACAAGGCAATTTTTGATATTTCAAATTTCTTCCCTAGATTATTCACTAAAAGAATTAGTTTTTAGCTATATATATTGATCGTATAATTAATTTTAAACCATTATGCTTGATGTCTATTTACTTATTATTGTAGGTCAACTTAACCTGATAATGTACACAATATAAACTCGAATTGAGCTATGCATTGCATATATAGAAGCAATAAGATGGAATTCAAGAACACGAAAAAGAAACAGGGAAAAAGGAAAATAAATATAGAGCATCGTTTTCATGATTATGCTTGGGAAGAATATTGATCATATTGACGACTGAAAATTTATTAATTTTCATTGAGCAAACTCGAAACGAGATGTTGTTTCTTATGCCCTTGAGAATTCACTGCAGAATAAAATAATGACTCTAAATAATTTTCTGATAATAATTACAATAAATCACGCCCTACAGAACCAAAGTAGTGCGAAATGCATAAAAAGAAAATAGATGATGATCGGTAAAAAAAAAAAAAAGAATTATCACAAGCAGTAATATTAAAAGAAAAGGTGACGAATAATATTTTTTTCGAAGGCTAGCTAGATGAAAACAAAGATTTAGAGAAAGGGAAAAACATGAAATAAATTACCCTTTTGATGTAGAAACAAGGGGTTAAGGAACGCAAAACCTTGAGATGTTCATTCATTTGTCTTCTCCTGTTTCTCTCTACTGCTATATGAGACATATTGGTTTTTCTTACCAAAATTGCCAAGTGTTTGTGTTTTTAGAAATTTATGTCATTCCAAAAGCTTTGTTGTTTCACTCTTTATATACACATAGTTGAAACCATGAATAAATGCAAAAGAAAAGAATGACTATAGTTCTAGTGTGGGTTATACCTAACCATCAGTCTAGTTTTCTTATTAAATGCTATCTGCTGCTCTCCCGTGACTGTTAATTATTTTTCACACACAGCTTTGTTATCTCATTCTATATGAGACACAAAAATATATGTAGACACAAAAAACACTAACATTCTTGTGTGTATATATGTATGTAGACAACATAATATAATAGGTCTCACGTTTATTACCCTATGGACATTTACGATTCCAGCGTGAGATAAAATAAAAGACAAGTAATTTCTTATATATCTTATTTTTTGTCATGCAGAAGAGCTGCTCTTCTTTTGCTTCTAAATTGTTGATTCATGGTTCGTGCATGCACTCTAAATTCTTTCCTCTCTGCATACATTTCATCACCTTCTTATTATGATATTTCTCTTCTTTTCATATATTTTATTTTATGAATTTTGATTTACCACAGATATATGTTTCCTGTTGGGTTCTATTTGGTTTTCTTTAATGTCAAAATGGAAACTGGCCTTACCTTTTGTGTGATATAATAGATGACACAAGGGTTTGCTAGCTCATGACCGAAAGGCAGAGCAAAATTATTGTGGTTTCGCACGAATACAGTAACTTTTACTTAAATGATGTAATTGCATTAGGAAATTTAACAAGTATAAACATGGCAACAAAGCGCCTGAACAACATGAGGGCTGCAATATAAGTCATTTAATGAATATTTAGACAAGATTATTTATAAAGTAATTATAGCAAATAACTATTATAAGCATTAATTGATAATCTGGTAAAAATGATAACTAACATGTTACATAATAAATTAAACTAATTTGAGAGTATGAAAGATAGAACTTACAACAGAAAATTTAAATCCATTCTTTAATAACATATTTACATATGCTAGTGCTATCTTCTTCAATGGCATATGGCTCCCCTCGTATCATATTTTACGTACTACTACCTAATTAAGTTCCGATGATAATTAAAAGATAAAATGACACAAGGTTTTATGCTCTAAGCCCTCAAAAAGAAATGTTTATGTATTACCTTATTGATTTTCGAGTTGTTTGAGCTGCCTAACATTTCAAGGTGCAAACTTTTGTAACAATACCCTAAGAAAATTTGACTGTAATTGAAGACGAAAAACACAAATTAAATTCACAGAAATGCTGTCACATTGAATGAACTTCTAAAGTCACTGTTGCTATTTCGTTATCGAAAAACAAAACTACCCTCTGTTAAAATTAGTAGGATCTCAGATTCAACAGACAAATTAGCAGTAGTAGTTTTCTCTTTGGCAGAATTCAAGATTCAAGAAGAATAACAGGAGACTTACACAAAGTATAAGCTTGTAGGAAATTTTGGGAAGGAGGATATGACTCTCAATCTCAAAAATTCTATAAGTGAGAAAATGATTCTTCTCTACTTACTCAACTTGCTAAAATAAAATGATTAGACTACATAGATATATACAGCTATGCATTTTCTCCTAACATGTACCTAATCTAGTACATGTATCTTAATTGATCCTAGACTTTTTATCTTCCTTAGTTCATGAATAAATTCATACATGCATCCTCATTAATTTTCTTATATATGAACTAAGTAATTCATGTACTTGAGATGAATCTAGTTATTTTTATCAACACTCCCTTCTAAAGTAGATAAATTAATTACTCCAAGAGATGTTTTGGGAGACATCAATTTTTTCTTGACTTGGCGAAGATATCTACAAGTCGATCTTGTGACTTTAAAAATTACTGACTCTTTGATGCGAGCCACGTCATTCATCTTTTCTCCTTCAAAGAAAGCTCTTGGTTGCAAAATAATTTGTTCAACCGATTTCTGTTTCGGCTTCTTTGATCTTTCTTCATTTATTTGCAGAGCTCGTTCAGTCGATTCTTGTGCACTTACATTATAAAATATTTACAATTATGTCATTTAAAGGTAATCGCAAAATTTTGTTTGAATTAATTAGTTTTTAATAAATAGTAAATAACTTATTATATTGCCTGATAATGTAAAAGAATCATTAGGCTGTAACTTAAATCTACTAGAAAAATACATATTTAAGAGAAATTGATGATGGGTAAGCCTATTCTTGGTCTTTTACAATATTACCTTTTGGTAAATTAACCTTTGCTCCCACAACGAATCAGCGCACAAGCACCTTCGCTTCTAGCTGACAAATAACCACTTGACCTTTGTCAATTGTCATTAATGCTGATACCTATTCCCATCTCAAAGCATCATTATAGTCCAGCATTATATTTAAAAATACTATTAATTCTTTTCTGCCTAGTTAAAGAAAAGGGTGATGTTCCAAAATGTAAGTGAATTTACTTAGGTGAAAGGTGGAATCGCAGCTTCAAGATACACTTTCTCTAATGAAAAAATAGATATTCTTAGCTTCCTCCCCAAAGCATTGTTACGTTAATTTCTAATAAGTTGAAACATTTCATGTGAAATAAGACGAGAACAAATTCACCATCTGAAAATACCCTTGCGAGATTTAGAAACGACAGGACAAACACTATAAAGTTAAAACTGCTGAGCTGAGTCGATATTGATTTTAATGACTAACAAACATTTGTGAAAAAATCAAGTCTCTTGAAGTCCGTTGATAGGAAGTTGTTTCCTAGCGCAAGTTAGCTTGAGCTGAAAAATATTTTTTTGTTGAAAGCCGGATTCCTTGAAGATTAATGTCATGGGTTGGAAGAGTATGGTAATGATTGGAAGAATTCGCGGTCAACAAAGATTCATCAATTATGAAAATAACGCATGAAGGGGCTGTTGGAAATAAAATAGAATCCTTTAGGATTTGTTTTTATTGAGATCGTGACCAAATTATGTTAGGTCTTGGAGCTAAATTAGAAAAGGATCGGTCAACTTCACTCCTATAAAAAGTATCATATTGCTGCTATTGAAGACTATCGGTATTTTACACAAACACAGAATTTATTTAAGGCAAATAGCAATCATAGTAAGAAGACACTTTCAAAGATCCAAGCGGTACAACTAAAGAACATGTTCCTGAAGACGAAGTTATTTAGTTGTTGTTGAGTCGTGATTCATTGTTCTTTAATTGTAACCTATTTTGCTTTTTAAAAATATATTGTTAAATTATCAAATCCGAAGAATTTGTTTAGCTGTTGAGACTAAAGTTTATAGTCTTTAAAAGGGTTAAGGTACAAGAGTTGGTCCCTTTGATTATCGAGCTTAACAAAAAGATTAGCTAGAATTCAGTTAATTATAGGGTTGATGTACTAGAGTTTATAATTTCTTTAGTTATTGAGTTATAACCTAAAATCACTCTTTGAAGTTAGTGAAGTTTCAAGACAAATCCTACGAGTTTGGGCCGTGATTTTTATTTTCTTGAGCAAGAAGATTTTTCACATGTTTTTGTGTTATTTAATTGTCACATTTCACTTTTAATTTTTGTTTAGAATTATTATATTAAAGAACTGGGTTCTTTAACGCGCGAGAGTGACAAAACTCACCCTCCCCTCTTGTGTCTTTGTAACGACCCGGTCAGTCGTTTAGTGTATTGTAGCCTCGTTCCCTCATTTACCGCTTCCTCTATTTCATTTTGTGGTTATGTAACTTGCCGGAGTTTTGGGTTTTGTTCCGGGGATATTTCCCAAAGTTGGAAACTTAAGTTGAAAGAGTTGACCAGACTTTGACTTTGGTGTAGACATTCCAAAATAGAGTTTTGATGGTTCTGACAGCTTGATATGATGATTTTGGACGTATGAGTATGTCCAAATATTGATTTGGAGGTTCGTACGTCGTTTTGACTTTAATTGGCGAAAGTTGGAAAGTTGAAGGTTTGGAAGGCTGAGAGGTTTGATCGAGAGTTGACTTTGTTGATACCGGGCTCGGATTTTGATTCTTGGAGTTGGAGTTGGTACGTGGTATAATTTGTGACTTGTATGCAAAATTTGAGAAAAATCGGAGTTAGTTTGATATGATTCGGTAATGGTTTTAAAAGTTGGAAGTTAATTAATTTCAATAGGCTTGAATTGGAGTGCAATTAGTGAATTTGGCATTGCTTGATGTGATTTGAGGCTTCAATTAAGTTTGTATCATATTTTAGGATGTGTTGGTATATTTGGATGGGGTCCGAGTGACCTCGGGTATTTTTCAGATTGAAATCGAATTGAGTTTTAGACCTAGGGAATTTCTGTTAGCTTCTGTTTTGGTGTGACCGCACATGCTTGATTTTAGGCGCAGATGCGAGACTGCAGAAGCGGCCAAGGGGCACAGAAGCAGTTCTGGGGTTGGAACTGGGAAGATACGCAGATGCGAGAATTAATCGCACCTACTAAGCCGCAGGTACGTGCCTGTGACCATAGGTGCGGAAGATGATATGGGCATAGGTTTCTGCAAAAGCAGACGTTGGTGAGCAGAAGCGCGTCCGCAAATATAATGGAAGGCCTAAAGAAGAGGAAGAGGACTGGGTGTGTAGGAGCCACAGATGCGAAGAACTTCCGCATGTGCAATCCTGTAGGTGCTGGCGTTAGACTGCAGATGCAGTGAAGCGGAGTTTCACTGAGTTCCGTAGATGCGGAGATTTTACTGCAGAAGTGGTTTCACAGAAGCGAAGAATTGGACCACAGGTGCATTTTTGCTGGATAGAACATAAATGTCGAAGGTTTGGTATTTTTCTCATTTTAGACTTGTGGAGCTCGACTATGGGCGATGTTTTAGAGGGATTTCAATATAATTGAAGAGGTAAATGATTTTTAATCACTTTTATCCATAAATATTGAATGTTCATTGATTTTACACCTAGATTATATGTGTTTGAGGTAAAATTTGGGAAATTTTGAGCTATGTATTAAAGAGTAAGATTTGAGGATTTGAGAGTCGATTTGTAATTGGAATAGGATGATTTTGGTATGGTTGGAGTTATTATTAAATGGGTGTTTGAATTTT